GTATTTCCTCTTCCCATAAGAGGGGTATATTCTCTTGTTTCTCTCTCCTCTCACTAGTGGTCAAGAAGCAGCCCCCTTTCTAGGGTCCCTTCTCTTGGTATTTATAGCTGCGGGCTTCGTGAGCTGTCAATAAGTGGTCGTGACCACGTTGAGATCTCGCCTTTATAGTGGCGGATAGGCGAGGGCCTTTGTTGACCGAGCCAGGGTCGGGTTGAACGTCGTCAATTCTGAGTGGTCGTGCCACTAATTAATCGCGAATTAACTTAAAACGGGATTAGCCTCGTTAATTATCGGTGGGGTCGGATTCTGACCCATACATATCACTATTTTGTAGAATGCAAATTTAATTTTGGCATAAATCTCGATTATACAGTTATATTTATCAAATAATTAGATTGTAAATAGTTTATTTGCTACGTGCTAAAAGTGTTGGGCACGACATATATGCATGGTGACGAGTGTATATGCGATTGCTATGGTTTAAAGCATGCGGGTAGGATTAGCTTATTCTTGCCTTTTGTTTATTTCATATATTATTCTCTTATGTGGTGTTGAATTGTGAGACTTACTTGATTATTCACATGTTAGTAGCCAAGTTTTGGGGTCTTATTGAGATATACGAGTAAGATGGCTCTTGTTGAGATAGATGAGTAAATTGGCTCTTGGTATATTGAATTTCCTATGACACCTTGGCCATATTTATCTTTTTTCTTAATAAATTATGTTTATTCATTCTTCTTGATGTTATAATTATGCGTTTTACCATGCTTGTTGTTGATATACATGTCGTTAGTAAGCATGAGGATGTTGCTCTTTGGATATTGTCATATGGTTTGGTATGTTGAATCGGATTGCACGCTGCAACGATGCTATAATTGGACCGGATGGCATTCCGCAATAATATGACCATTGGATTGGGTTGCTCGTCGCAACATTATTGTGTTAGATCAGGTTGTGTGCCGCAATGGCTTTATGTTCGAATATGATATAACATGCTTAATTCATGTATGTTGCTTCTCCTTTGTGGAATTTGCTTCGTAGATCATGCTATATTATTATTTTCGTGAACCCCGTATGCTTGTTCTCTTACTTGGTCCTTTTTATGTATTCTATTGTTTTATTCGTCTTTCTACTGTTTGCTTTCTGCTTGTTATTTGTTGGACTTATATTAGGCCTTGTACATTTGGGCTTTGTGATTATATAGTTTAGTTAAATATCTATATTTGGGCCTGTATATATACATTTTGAGATTCCGAGTTTGAGACCTACGGGTCATTATGTAAAAACATCAGAAACTCTTCTTCTCTCTGGAACCTTCTTCCTCTCGTTTAGATTTCCAATTTCTTCACCATTTTTGCTTGATCTCATGCGATCTAACATGGTATCAAAGCATTATCATCAAAGATCTAGTGTATTTTTCGATTTTTAGTACCTTAATCCCCTTGTTTCTTCCTATTTCCAGAAAATTCGAAAACCCTAGTTTCTTCTTTTTCGAAGATTCTAGCCAAATTATATGATGAATCCAGTGTTTTTCGAAGCTTATTGTGACTGAAATTCTTGGTTTAGCGGTTGTTTTCTTCAAATTTAGGATTGAATTTGTGGTTGCTCGGTGGTACTCAACGGTGACGAGTTCGGTTTTGCCGATTTATTGGTTATGTTGTTCGAAGAATTCTTCTGCTGTTTTGGAAATTTTTCTTCCTTCAACACATTCATTTCACAGGTTTCTTTGAGATTTTATCGTCTATGCCCTAGTTTTTCTCTTTACTCATGGAAAATGAAAATGTTGCAACCGCCTCTGAAATCGACCATAACTCTCCCACTTTCACTCAAACTGATTTTGTTTTCCCTCCTTCTCACCCATTCTATCTTCATCCTTCTGACTATCCTGGTACTGTTCTCGTGACAAAACAATTCAATGGGGACTGTTTTGGAGCCTGGAGAAGAGGCATTATCATAGCTTTGGGGGCAAAGAAGAAATTAGGATTCATTAATGGGAGCTATGTCCAGTCCTCTCCCGATTCTCCTTTGTTTGAACACTGGGAACAGTGTAATAGCATGATAATCAGCTGGATTCTTAATTCCTTGGATCCCGACATTTCACAAAGTGTTATATACTCTAAGTCTGCTAAGAGTCTATGGGATGAATTGAACCAAAGGTATGGGCAAGCAAATGGTGCTAAGATGTATGAAGTTCAAAAAGGCCTAAGCACTATATCTCAAGGTTCTTCTGATGTAGGAAGTTATTCACTAGGGTTAAAAGACCCTGGGATGAAATGGAGTCACTTGATGTTGATTCCTTTTGTGTTTGCGAATGCAAATGTGGAGGTAAACACAAAATGATCAAAAAGATGGAAAATCAGAAATTGATGCAGTTTTTGATGGGTTTGAATGAGGTGTTCAACAATGCTAGAGGAAATATTCTGATGATGCAGCCACTTCCGGAAGTTGGCAAGGCCTATTCTCTAGTTGTTCAAGACGAGAAGCAGCGAGGGATTCACAATGTCCCTGGTTTTCAGTCTGACTCTACAGCTTTCACTGCTAGGTCAAATGGTCCTACCTATACTCCAAAACCACCACAAACCACAAATTTCACACAAAGATATACTTTTAACAATCCAAATCCAAGTTTCAACAATCAGAAGGGAGGATATGATCCAAAAATGCCCTATTGCAGATATTGTAAAAAGCCAGGACATGTAATTGAGAAGTGCTACAAGTTACATGGATTTCCACAGCCTTCAAAGTCAGGGAACAAGAATATCCGAGTTGTTGCACCTGTCCATTCATCTTCTGATGCTAAGCTTGAACAGTCTCATGAGAACAACATCAATACTGCCAACACCATCACACCTGAACAATACAAGCAGCTCATGACTATCCTGCAAGATGTTCAAGTTGGTTCTGATGATTTCTCAAAGCCAATCTACCACAACTAATTTTGGAGGTATTTTTGCTTTTTCTACCCATCTGATGAGTTGTGGTAATTGTACTTGTTTAAGTAGTGTTCTAACTTCTGAAACCTGGATATTGGATTCTGGAGCATCAGATCACATGACCTTTAACAAATCTTTGCTTACAAATATAACAATATTTGTTCCCTACCTCATCACATTACCCAATGGGTATAAAGTCAAAGTGACCTCAATTGGTTCTGTCAAATTAAACTCTTCAATCATTCTGTCCAAGGTGCTATATGTGCCTACTTTTAAATACAATCTCATTTCAGTCCACAAGTTATTAGTTGATACTTTATCATTGCTATGTTTTTCTCAACATGCTTGTTTTCTACTACAGGGCCCTTCTTTGGGGATGCCATTGGTACTTGGTAAGATGGCTGAAGGGCTCTATCTTTACAACTCCAGAACACAATCTTCAGTGACACCTTCTGGATCCTCATCAATCTCTCATTGTCCTGCTTTAATTCCCTTTTCTGTTCATGTAAACACATTAAGTGTAAATAAGTCCCAACTTCTGTGGCATAATAGGTTGGACACCTTCCTTTTTCGAAATTACAGAAAATAAACTCTTTGAATGTACCATTTTCTAATAAGCATCCTTTCATTTGTGATATATGTCCACTTGCTAGACAACAAAGAAATTCTTTTCCTGATAGTAATTCTCATTCTTCACATATATTTGATCTCATTCATGTGGATGTTTGGGGTCCTTATCACACTGCCACACATAGATCTTATAGATATTTTCTCACAATTGTGGATGATTGTAGTAGGAACACCTGGACACATCTCTTAAGTCATAAGGGCAATGCTCTGTCCATTCTAAAATCTTTCTTCTC